GGTATTCCGGGTATTCCGGGTATTCCGGGTATTCCGGGTATTCCGGGTATTCCGGGTATTCCGGGTATTCCGGGTATTCCGGGTATTCCGGGTATTCCGGGTATTCCGGGTATTCCGGGTATTCCGGGTATTCCGGGTATTCCGGGTATTCCGGGTATTCCGGGTATTCCGGGTATTCCGGGTATTCCGACACGGAATTCTGGCTTTCGATATTTTCCACACTACCCCACAAACACTAGACAAAGAATGTAACTGCCGGAAAAAAGACCAATGCCCCCTAGATGGAAAATGCCTCACATCAAACGTAGTCTACCAAGCAACAGTCACAACTGAAACGTCAACAGATTCATACGTAGGACTCCCGACAAACTTTAAAGAACGGTACAGAAACCACACAGCTTCCTTCCGACTCCAAAATAAGAGATACGAGACTGAATTCTCTAAACACATATGGACACTGAAGGACAATAACAAACCTTTCAAACTAACGTGGAAAATCATCAAACAATGCAAACCGTACAATAACAATACTAAGAAATTTAATTTATGTCTTTTTGAAAAATTCACGATCACATTTAAAAAGAAACTTTGCAGTCTAAACAAGCGAAAGGAGCTAGCAAGTTCATGCAAGTTCATGTAACTGAAGTCTTGAACCAGTCAGTTATAACTATGTTATGTATGTATTTATGGGTATTTAGATTTGACTGGTTTTCGTCAAATTTCGCCAAAACATCCCTGGAAGAATGACACACAAAAGACTGTCGAGAATTTTTGATACTTCACATATTTGTCCTGTGGCGTCCAATTACGCAACACGCCTCGTCTATTGTTAGCCACTCCAACTTATTCTAACTTTATGCCGATATCTAGACAACCAATCATGATATCAAAAAAGCCCGACACACCTCTGTTGATTGATGCCTTGTGAATAAGACTGTGCATCCATCTTGCTTGTGCTGCGGCACCCGATACCCTATAAATTCAATAGAAGAACCTCGGTCGTTTCACGCCTTAACGGCTCCTAAAAAAGGAAAGCTCGCTCATATTATATTTTCATCGTATTTATAAGTTATTTATTTATTTATTTATTTATTGGTGTTAAGTTTACTGGGATTTTTAGTGAGACTAGCGCATATACAGATTTTTTTCCCAAAGAACACCCTCGAAGGTAGGAAGTAAATCTGGTGTTTCCCTAAAATTCGACGTAACCATGCCTACTTAACAAAGGTTGATGAACTATCAAGCGGTGTCGCAATCTCCGTTATTAAAGGCGTAACCCCAGGTGACTTCGTGGCAAACAGCTTCACCCGAGAGGTCCTATTTCAACTTTGTCTGCATTCGCGTTTGGGCCAGTAGTTGTGGAAAAATCTCATCATGAAACACTCATTTAGGGAAAAATCAAGCATTTGGTTCGGTTTGGCCAATCCTCAAAGGTTGGTGACAAAAAATGCTTTTCACCTTGTTTTACCCAAAACCTTATTTCACCACCAAAACCGTAATGTTTACTGTTTACCAATGTCGCTTACTAACTTGCGTGAGCAATCTCCACTGCCGCGTAAAAATCAATACTGCGCGTTTTTTGTATTTCTTACAACTGCAGGCTGGTGCGAAATGATAAAAGTTTAAGGTTGTTAAACTTTTCTCTGTGCATTTGCTATTGCGACTTGCATAAAGCGCACGCAAACGCCTTTAAAGAAGTTGGTGAGGAAATATGAGAACTTTTAGTCGATGGATACGCTTCCACAAGTGAACGTTCATTTTAATGAACGTGCGTTTTAAAATAAAGCGCATTCACTTGCGTGGGCCGACCAAAACTCCAACTTGAGGCTGGGCTTTCCCTACTTTTTAGAATCGGTCGCCACGTTTTTGTACGGAAATTTCTGTCGCAGTTAAAAGATGTTGTAATTCAAAAAGCAGCTTATATAGATCCTTTTACTCTGTTTCATTGTTTCCCAGCCGCCCGTTGTGATGTGGTGTGCACATGGTATGATGTTCACATGTTTGCGTTATGTCACGCCAGTCAACGTTTCAAGCTCTTCACGCTAACCCCGTGTTTTGCTTGCCGAGACAGAATTATATATTGACTCTCCAAAGTGGCCACGACGATGAGCTGATGCCATAACGATGCCTGTCGCTGTTGGAATAAAGGAGATTTCCGCTTTCTGTTCTTAGTGAAAGGAAGACTGATTTGGCACACCGAGAGAGAAGCCATCGTAAGAATCTTATTATAGAGAAGCATTTGTCACATGAAAAGAATTTGCTGTGGCGGAACATAATCTCAAATCGAAGTCAAATTTCACCTCGATACACAGACACACGAAAACACAAAGAATGAAAATATTGAGCTTCCTTCGAAGACTAGTGATAGTAACTTTTTTTAGGAGAAATTTCTTTTTCATTCGCTTGTTCGGTATCCTTGCCATAGCTTCTATGCTGATTTCGCTTCTGTTCTTAGTTCACGTCAACGAACATGAGAAAATAAGTGTTACTCAAGAAAGATTACAACGTGATATTGAGATGGAAACGAAATTTGCAGAGATAAAGAGACGCGTAAAGAAAATGAAAAAAATTGGGCCGAAAGCGTGGGAACATATTCTATCCGATCCACCGCCGTTGTCTCATAGACCTGGGGATTATTCACTCAAGAAAAACGGTGATAAAAAGTCGTCCTTGCGACGAAGCTCAGAGAAAGGGGGTAACTCAGTAGCCCGTGGCTCAGAGCGCACAAAGAAATCAGAGTTTTCCGCTGTTTGGGATACATGGAGTAACCGTCAAAGGGCACGAAGGACTGTTAAAGAAGTCAAACCAACCGGAGATGTGAAGAACGATTATCAATCACAAATATTCGCCACTGGCAATGTAGTGAAAGACAACACAAGGGAATTCAACACTTTTACTAGACGATCAGAAGCGATATTCACCGCCACCCCAACGGTTTACAAGGAAAAAGAAACTACACTTGCAAAATATCAGTCAAATTTTGTAAAGGACTCACACTTAGTGCCCGACGCGAACAGGCATAGAAATGTTGAAGATAAATTGCATAACACGGATGTGACTGTAATTCGAGCTACGGAACAAAGAACATTGACCGCGCAGATTAATTCCCCAGTAATGCGTAATTTATATGAGCGACAGAACACTGGCAAATCCCAAACAACAGGCGACAAGCAAGTGGAAACTTCGAATAGAAAGGAAATTGCGGCTGTGAGGATTAGAAATTCAGAAACTTCAACACCAGCCAATAAAGATTCACTCAGACACCCAACTAACGCACTGAGAAATGTCAAATTGCAATCAAGAGCCTCAAGTGTACCTCCTATCCTCGAAGGAAACAGACCAAAAGCACATACACCAGTGATGACAGTAAAACGAGACGTGGAAAAGCCAACATTAACCTCGCCTATGGATTCCCCCGCTCAGGGTTATTCCTCTGTGCGACAGAAAACTGTCAAATCCCGAATAATAGGAAACAGACAGGCGGAAACATCCAATACAAAGGAAATTGCGGCTATGAGCATTAGAGATTCTGCAACGTTAACGCCAATCAATAAAGATTTACTCCGATACCCAACCATCGCGCCGAGAACTGCCAAAATGCATTCAAGAAGTACAATTTTAACTCTCCCAGTCCACGAAGGAAACAAACCAGCAGCCCCAACCCTTGGAAAGCCAATACAAAAAGTAACCACTCAATATACAACCTATACCTCTCCAGTACAAAGGAAAACTGTTATTATTGTAGCAGAGCCGCGCACAGGCTCGTCTTTCCTCGGTGATGCCTTCAACCAAAATCCGGACGTTTTCTACTTGTTTGAACCTCTTCATGGAGTTGTGCTGGACCCATCGCAACACGAGCGCGACCCGAAACCGATGCAGTTCCTCGCAGGAATTTTAGGCTGTAAGTTTCTATCTCCTAGGTATGTAAAAGAAATTCAAGTTTTTCGAAGGTTCTCCAGTAACGCACTGTCTTCACCGCCACTGTGCAGAGAAAAAACTACACCTAAAACGGCGAAGAAAAATAAGTGCTCCTCATTGACCACGAAAAACATGGAAAACGTTTGTATGTTAGATTACAGTGTTACAGTTATTAAGATTCTCACTTCTAGAATACCTAAAAGCAGGGTCGAGTCGCTGTTTCCTCTCTGTAATTCGAGCGATTGCTCGATTATTTACTTGGTTAGGGATCCCCGTCCAGTTGTCTTTTCTCATATGAAAGTGGGAATAAATACATGGACGTATTTTAGAGGTCGAGCAAAAGACGGCTCCCCTCACCCCTCTTTGAAGATGTATAGTGCCCAGATCTGTCGTCAAATTGAAGCGAATGTGAGAACTTTTCTAGAGCTCACCAACAAAACAAACAATAGATACCACATCCTCCCTTACGAAGACTTAGCTAGAAATCCAGTTGAAATTTTGCAAAGGATGTACAAAATATCTGGAATTACAATGCATAATGATACTCTTAACTGGATCAAAAATCATACGTCAGAGCAAAATGTTCCGTCAAATAATGTGAAAGGTTATAACTTCTCCACAAAGCGGAACTCCAAGGCTAACGTGGATAACTGGAGGTTTGAAGTGGATCCCTGCCTCGTTAACATTATAGAAGACAGCTGTCGTCCTTTAATGCAGCTTCTAGGTTATAAACTTCTAAACAGATCTGAGAAAACGCAGTATGACCTCACTGTGTCACTTTATGATCACATTTATATGAATACCCAATGACCCACGTGACGGTTGGCAGATTTCAGGGTTGGCGATCGTGATCGTGATCATGATCCGTGATTTGAAGACCTTGCGTGATCCGTGATCTTCTTGCTGTGGGGTCGTGAACCATCCGTAACTTTCGTTGAAGAACGTGACTCCGGAAAATAGAGTCTCGTGTATCAATTTTAAAATTTATTTCAAGCACTTATTTGATCATTTGGTTATTTATACACGGTACCGATTAAAAGTTACATATCCTTTCGTCGGGCCATAGTTAAAAACAGCAACAGATGAACTACGTACTAATTGAAATTATCTATATAAATTTGTATGTTACACGTGCAAGATTATACCTAAACTCCTAAACATTATCGTTCCTTGACTATCATTAAAGAAATTAAATACATTTTTTAAGAGAGCTAAGAGTGGGCTGTTTTGATTGCTCAAAGGCAAGCTGTTCCAGAAAACAGAACCTCGATATTGAAAACTTCATTTGCTTGCCTCAGTGGTCGGCCATGGGGCCCTGTTACTTGCCCAACACATTTTATTTTTGTTTGTTTAATTATTACTAGTTATCAGTTCGTTACGTTTAAGTTTGAATTATTCACGCCGTGACTGCTAGGAATCAAATTTCGTCGTATAACCTTTAAAATCGATATAATCAGCCTCTACTACGTTTTTATTTGTTAAGCTATGTTATCCGTCGAGCCACGCCATCTTAAGTTGTGAAAGCTATCTGTTTCGTTTAGTAAATAGGCGTTGCCTATGATGACAGATATAATTTAATTAACACAACTCGTGATTGACATTAATTCCTCACAATGATTTAAAGTGTTAGCTTGTCGTGATTTAAACCAGTTTTTCAGAAGAATCAGTAAGAGAGAGAAGTCGATTTTTGTATCTC